TCAGAAAGCCCGTTAGTAGCGCCTTTAGCGTTTTCGTCTTGTTATATAGCAAGCAGGCGTTATAGTAGTTATAGATTATACCGGTTATCCCGGTCTACTAGTATTTCCGGTTTATTAGATTAATAGTCTTGGTCCTCCTAGGGTAGCCCCTAGGTCCTAATACGTAAGTTCAGTAGATTAGCTATAGCTATATTTTGTCGTTGTCTAGGTTAATAAGTATCCTTCCTTAGTAGTAAGCCTTGCCCGCGATAGCTTAGCACTCTATATATAGTACTTTAAGCTTCGTTTTAATGTCCTTTAGCTACGCTCTGGTTCTAGGGTCTGCTAACGCCTTAAGCGTTACCTTTAGTAGATCCGAGCTCGTATATATCTCGTTTAGCAGATCGTCAATATACCTCGATAGGTCTAACTAGTTAACTATAATCGCCTTGTTATATAGTCTTAGTAGTTTAAATGTCTCTAGGTTAAACCGGTCAGGGTCGATTAGTAGCCTCTTACGGTTCTAGAGTCGGTTATCCTCTACGCCCTATAGTATATGTTCTAGCTTGTAGCTTAGCGTATCTAGCATTGCGTTTACCGATCCTAGCCAGTAGATACTACGGAAGTTAAATCGTAATAGGAATTCAGACTACTATATATACCTTAGGGACAGTTACTTCGTCGTTACAAAGGTCTAAAGGTTCTTATAGTCCGTGATAATGTTAAACCGGCCGTTTGCTCCCTCTAGTTCTAGTTACTATTCCTCTAGTGCCTTGATTACTACTAATAGCTCCTTGTTATAGATATTGTAATTGCATTCCTATACTAAGTGCTTTGCGCTAAAGTAGGCTACTAGGTACTAGTCGCTATTATTATCTTGCTATAGTAGCGTTCTACCTACTAACTAGTCTAAAGCGTTAGTTTCAACGACTATAGGCTTATCCTAGTTATAGATCCTTAGCGCTAGTGCCGTCGAGAAGTACGTTTTTAGTTACTTGAAAGCTAAATAGTATAGTCTGCTCTATTCCTAGCTTATTGTTTTCTTCGTTAGGTTATAAAGTGGCTACGCTACTCCTAAGAAGTTCTTAATAAATCGTTAGTAGAAGTTCGCAAAGCCTAAGAACCGTTGTAGCTACCGCCTTGTTATTAGTAGTTCCTAAGATACAATAGCTACTACCTTCTCTTTGTCTATATCGATGCTACCTAGTGTAATAATTAGGCCTAAGTATTTCGTCCTTATAGTATAGAATTCGTACTTGTTAATATCGACCTAGAGCCCTACCTAGTATAGTCTCTTTAGTACCTCCTTTACCTACTTAATATAGTCTGCTATATTCGTGGAGTAGATTAGTATATTGTCTAGGTACGCTATAGCGTATACGTCCAGTATATTATATAGCGTGTTATTAATATAGTGCTAAAACGTAGCGGGCGCTCCCTATAGCCCGAACGGCGTAACTAGTAATTCGTAGAGGCTGAATTGTATTATAAACGCTATTAACTATTTATAGCCTTCCGCTACTTAGACTCTATTGAACGCTATAATAACATCTAGCTTTATAAAGATCCGCGCTCTATAGATAGCATCGAGTGTTTCCTTAATTAGTAGTATTAGATATCGACTCTTTATCGAAACGTTATTTAGACCTTAGAAGTTAGCGTAAATCTATACTCTACCTCCTAGCTTCTAGGTAAGTAGTAAAGGCGCTCCTATACTCGATTTCAATAGTTAGATAAAGCCTTTCGTCAGGTGGTTATCTAGCTAGCGCTTAACTATATATAGCTCTATTAGTAAGAACGGTCTATTCCTTAAGAACGGTAGCTTACTTCCTAGTATTAGCTCGATTTTATAGTTATATAATCTATACGGTAGTAGCGTATCTACCTCCTAGGGAAGAAAAGTCTCGAACGTATTACAATACTCCGCTAGTAGGCGTTTCAAGATATCCGCTACTATTAGCTAGGGTTTGTTACTCTTCTTAAAGAATTTCCAAGTGTCCTCCTCTATAATCCTGTAAATCGTCTCTACGTCGCTCTAGAGGGCATTTACAAACTTATAGTACCGTTCTAGGAGTACCAAAGTATAGTCCTCTAGCAAGCCTTTATAGTTTAATATCCGCTTATAAAAGTCATCTAGTAGGGTATAGAGCGTAGCCTTCTCCTTGTCCTTCTTCTTATTTAGTATTGCTTGTTCTAGTTAGTCGACTGTTATACGTATTACTATTATACCCTTCTAGCGGTAGAAAAGTATAAAGTTTAGCGCGTTTAGTATCTTAATGTTATTTTTATTAATTGCCTTATTATATAGTAGTAGCTTTAGGAGTTGTTTCGGTAGTAGCGGCGCCTATAGGTACCTACGCCCGTTTACCTTTTTCGCTAGTTATAGCCTCCTTATAAGCTTATTTAGAATAACTACTGCTTTTGATCCTAGCGGGGATAAGGTCTACTACAGTCCGTTCTCGAGTACTCTCTAATAGCGTTATAACGAGGATAACCTCCTCTTCCTTTTCTTCTATAGGTTCTCTAGACCCTGGTTATACTCCCTATCCTCTAGTTCTCCCTTATCTAGGACTTCCTTAACCGATACTTAGTATTTCGTAGTGTTTTTTATAATTATAGGTTCCGCGCTTGTAGGTTCTATAGTTATAGGTATTGCTTATAGTGCTATTAGCTTAGTTATATATCCTAGTAAGTAACGTTGCTCTTAGTAACGCTCCTTAAACGTAAGCTTTAGGTCCGCCTAGTTGATTGTTAGGTTATATCTTCTTAGCTATAGGAGGCCTAGAATGATTGGATTGTCTTTCGCTAGTATAGTAATAAAGAACCGAAGCTTCTTCCTATACTAGCCGATCCTTAGTTCTAGCACTATACTCTATTTAATCTATAACTTTAGTATACTATTAGCTAAATAGAGTAGCTTCCTTGTTTCTAGTCTACTTAGTAGTATATTATTACGTACTACGAAACTAAAGTCTATAAAGGCAAGATCTATATAGCCTAAATCTACAAGCGCTATATATACTATCTTACGCTTGCTTATTATAATATAGGAGGATAATAGGATTAAATTAGCTATCTGACTAATAGCGCTAATAACTAAATCGCTACTACCTCCCCTATAATAGCCTTTATACCCCTACGTACGTCTTTATATAAAGGCTAGGCATTTCCCTAGTACTGTTGTTACTATTCTAGGTCTTCTATACTCTATTTAGGTTCGTAGCGCTTAGTATCGTTATAATCGACTTCTCCTAGAACGTAGCCTTAGTCTATAAATCGTACGCGGTACGCGCTGTAGCCTCCGCCGTTGTTGCTGAAGTTCTAGTTGTTATTGTTCTATCGATATAGGTATCCGCCGCTACTACGGCCTCCGCCGCCTCCGAATCCGCCGTTATTACCGAATCCGCCGTTGTTATTGTTAAATCCGCCGTTATAGTTATTCTAGTTCGGGCCGCTATTATTGTTCTAGTTCGGGCCGCTACTGTTATTACTAAATCCGCTATTGTTGCCGAATCCGCTATAGTTACTATAGCTACCCTGCTACCCTCTACCTCTAGCGCCTAGGTTGTTCTAGGCTTGCTTACCTTTCTCTATATATTTCGCCGCGATATAGCCTCTTATACTATAGAGGAAATAGAGACCTATAGCTATATACTGCTCCCTCTCTAAGTTAGAGAGTTATAAGATAGTTGCCTTATCCTTAGTAGTAGTTACCTAGTTAATGTCTATAGCGTTTAGGTCCTTGCCTTCCTTCTTAGTATTATAGCTATTATAGTAGTTTAGCTCGTTAGCCTTCTTTAAGTATTCCTCTATTTCGAGGTTATTAGCCTAGGCCTAGGCTATAGTAACCTATCCCTAGAAGTTATCCTAGGCTAGGAGGTTCGTCTATAGTAGGATTAGGTCCTATATTAGCTTCGAAAGCTTCTCTCTTAGCGCGCGTACGTAGGTAGCGTTATCCTAGTTACTTAGGTTATAGAGGTTCGAGAACTCTATAATAAAGTCTATAAACTTCGCGTACTTGTCCTTCTACGCTATCTTACGTAGCTTGTTCTCTACGTTAGCTACTAGATCTATCGTTACGTACTTCTTAGAAAGGAACTTAATAAACTCGTTAGTAGTTATCTATACCTAGGCTTACTTATCGCCTAGATTTACGATAATAGTATCGATATAGTTGCTGATTCCTATAGCTACGATTCCTTCTAGTAGCGAAGCTATATAAAGGATCTTCGCTTTCTTAGTTACGTATTCTAGCGGCCTTACAGCCTATTGTGCCGTGATTAGCGTCTTCTATATTCTGAATTGTATAGTTCGCTTCGTTAAGTCCCGCTTAGAGCCCAAGAACGTAGAGGCGTATAGTATACTACCCTCCCTAGCGCCGCCGCCGCTACCTAGCTTCCCGGACTCGATTAGCCTTGTTAAAACGTTATTCTCTACCTATAGAACTATAGCCTTTTCGTTTACCTCGTTCGCCCTAACTATCTATCTCTAGATTTCCTTAGTCGTGCCCCTAAGGATATATTCGGTAAGGTTCGCTATTATCCTCTCTATTGTATTGTCCTTTCTAGTTCTTTTAAGCGCTTTAAGTAGGAGGTTGTTACCTATGAACAGCCTATAGTATCCTTCGAAATAACCCTTTAGTTTCGGATATATCTCTTCCTTTAGGGCTATAACGGCCTCGCTACGTATATCCTTAATAGGAATAGGCACTTAGGCTATAGAGCTTACGTTAACGTCTATAGTACTTACTATCTTCTCTTGTTTAGGTTTCTTAGGTTCGGGTTCTTAGGTTCGGGGGTTCGGGTTTCTTAGGTTTAGGTATCGGACTATCTTGTCGTTCTAGGACTAACTATCTTGTTAGTTTCTTAGGTTCGGGGCGGTCGAATTGTAATTTCGGTTGGTTCGTGTAACGTAAATTCGTCGTAATTAATCAACGAAGGTCTATATATACGAACAGAAGGTATAACCAACTATCACAGGTAGTAAATGCCTAATGTTAGGGTACGTATATATTCGATGTAAGGGGAGTGGTATAATTGGAGTATATTGCACCTGGAAGCTACAAGGCTGTTGGTTCGAATCCGGCCTCCCTCACCCTCTTTTCGGTTTTTCAGGATTAGTCCCCTGCAAATTCCAACGAGAGTTACACTAACTAAAGAAGGAAAACCCGAGGAATAGCCGTCGTCTTAGAGACTAGGATCTAGGCCCCTACATCATATACCAATCGGCAAGAACCCTATATTACTCGCTATAGGATAAAAACAATCTAGCCATAGTAGCTAGGGACTAGTAAACTACCTAGGGTAGAAGCTAAACTGCCTAATAAAATACTACTAGGGGCCCCCCCTAGAAGAAACTGGACTTGAACGAAGAGCGGAAGAAGGAGGAGATTGTTAGCTACCCTAGAACCAATCACATCTAACAAAGGGGGCAGGTAGGGTTGGAGAAGGCTAGGGCATTACGTAGTATAAAGGAAACAGAAGCGGGGAGATCAAATCGAAGAGTGGAGGTTTTCATCCGGCCTAGCGAGGGTACGGTTTCCTATACTAAACAAACTAGTAGAAGGACCGGCGCGCTGTAAGGCATATCGGTGTACGAATAAATAAATAATATATATTCGATGTAGTTGTACAAGGAACTTAAGATAGTAGGTGTAGCCCGCTGGGGATAAGCCCTGCGTAGCGGGCTCTATATGTTACAGGCTCTGTAGGCCCTATATCGCACAACCGCTCCACAATGGCTATACGGCCCGTAATGGCTATATAGCTATATGTTACGGCTAGACCCGTGACACCCTATTAGTATACCCTAGAGCTAATAGAATGGTTATTAGCAACCCTCCCTCCTTACTATTAAAAATACCCTAACTACTCTAAAGGGCTTAACTAAATCCTATTATAGCAGCCCTAAACCCCTCTATAAAGCGCCTTTAAGTAGCCCTTATACCTACTAGTAGACCTACTACTAACCCCTCTACTACTACTACTAATAGTAGTAACACTAGCCCTACTACTAGGGATAGTATAGATTAGAAGATATTAGGGCTATACTTAATAGTATAGTTACTTTAGTTAACCTAAATAAGAAGAACATTACCTAATAGGTAGCTAGAGGGATCCTAGCTTAGCTTTAGAGCGCTATTAGCTAACTATAAGGCTTTATATCTAAACTAAACTTAAAGATCCAAGCGCTACTTATTAGAATATAGAATCTACTACTAAGATAATAAACTAGGGTAGATAGTTCTTAGCTAGAATAGGGGTATATATATAGTATATTTTTTATTTTTTAACTACTTATAGCGCTATACGTTGTTTTATAGTTATATATATAGCTAGTTAGAGTATCTACTTAGGGATATAACAATACTCCTAGGATATTAAAATCCTCCTTTAAATTTAACACTTTTTAGCTCTAAGCGTTCTACTACCTCTAGGTATATATTTTATAGTAACAATTGTTCGCCTTCCTTTAAATAAAGGGAGATATATATCTAGAGGGTAATATTTTAATTAGATCTATTATAATTAAAGTCCGAAGATCCGTTAGTAATCTTAGACACTTACTAACTTATCTATCTATACTATAGTCTTACCTACTACTATAGAGTAGGTTAGTTTATAGTTTACTTTTATTTATTTATACTCTAATATACCTTATAGCGCGCCGGTCCTACTACTACTATAAGGCGCTACCCTACTCTAGGAAAACGGTCTTAGCGACAATACCTAGATACTAACAGCGTTTTGTACTAAAGATTATTTTAGTATTGTTTTTAGCTAACCGAGTTTTATACGTAAGATAGTCTTATACTACCTAGAGCATTTTCGAATTAATTAGATCTTACTAGCTAAGATAATCTTGCTTACGAAATATCTTAATTAGCTAACTGTCTTTAACTATAAAAATAGTATTACGTTCAAAACGCTCACCGCCTTACGTAACGGCTCTATCGAGCGACGTAATTAATAGTAATAATACCGCCTACTTGCTTGCCCGCTTACCCGCTCGCCTACCCGCGCGCCTGCCCGCGCGCCTGCCCGCGCGTAGAAGGTCGTTAATTGGCTTGTAAGCTAACTCGCTAGGCATTGACTTGTTAGCGGGAGCTAGGTTATGGAGAGCTATAGACCTTGCTAAGCTATAGAGAAGGTTGTTAATCGGCTTATAAGCTAACTCGCTAGGTATTAACTTGTTAGTAGGAGCTAGGTTACGGAGAGCTATAGACCTTGCTAAGCTATAGAGAAGGTTATTAATTAGCTTATAAGCTAACTCGCTAGGTTATAGGGAGCTACACTAACCTTGCTAAGCTATAGAGAAGGTTGTTAATCGGTGTCACGGGTCTAGCCGTGACATATGGCCGTATGGCCATTGTGGAGCGGTTGTGCGATATGGGGCCTGCAGAGCCTGCAGCGTATGTGGAGCCCGCCGCAGGGCATATCCCCGGCGGGCCACACCCACCATCTTGAGTTCCTCGTACAACCATATCGAATATATACGTACCCTAACATTGGGCATTTACCACCCGTGATAGTTGGTTGTACCTTCTGTTTGTGTACGCAGACCTTCGTCGATTAATTACGACGAATTTGCGTTACGCGAACCAACCGAAATCACAATTCGACCGCCCTGAACCTAAGAAACCGACAAGATAGTCGGTCCCGAAACAACAAGACAGTCCTAAGAACCAGAACCTAAGAAACCAAACCCCCGAACCTAAGAAACCGAACCCCCGAACCTAAGAAACCGAACCCCCGAACAAAGAAGAACGAGCACTATAGACGTCGACGTAAGCTCCGCGGCCTAAGTGCCTATTCCTATTAAGGATATACGTAGCGAGGCCGCCGTAGCCCTAAAGGAAGAGATATACCCGAAGCTAAAGGGTTATTTCGAAGGATACTACGGGCCGTTTACAGGTAACAACCTCCTACTTAAAGCGCTTAAGAGAACTAGAAAGGACAATACGATAGAGAGGATGATAGCGAACCTGGCCGAATATATCCTTAGGGGCGCGACCGAGGAAATCCAGAGATAGATAGTTAGGGCGAACGAGGCGAACGAGAAGGCTATAGTACTGTAAGTAGAGAATAACGTTTTAACAAGGCTAATCGAGTCTGGGAAGCTGGGCGGCGGCGGCGGCGGTGCTAGAGAGGGTAGTATACTGTACGTATCTACGTTTTCGGGCTCTAAGCGGGACTTAGCGAAGCGAACTATATAATTCAGAATGTAAAAGACGCTGATCACGGCGCGATAGGCCGCAAGGCCGCTAGAATACGCGACTAAGAAAGCGAAGATCCTCTACGTAGCTTCGCTACTAGAGGGAATCGTAGCCGTAGGAATCAGCAACTACATTGATACTATTGTCGCGAATCTAGGCGATGAGCAAGCCTAGGTATAGATAACTGCTGACGAGTTTATTAAGTTCCTTTCTAAGAAGTATATAACGATAGATCTAGTGGCTAACGTAGAGAACAAGCTGCGTAAGATAGCGTAGAAGGACAAGTACGCGAAGTTTACAGACTTTATTACGGAGTTCTCGAACCTCTACGACCTAAGTAACTAGGACGACGCCACCTACGTACGCGCGCTAAGGGAGAAGCTTTCGAAGCTAATGCGGGACCTGATCCTACCGTAGACGAACCTCCCGGCCCGGGATAACTTCTAGAGATAGGTTACCGTAGCCTAGGCCTAGGCTAACAACCTTGAAATAGAGGAATACTTAAAGAAGGCTAACGAGCCGAACTACTATAACGGCTATAATACTAAGAAGGAAGGTAAGGACCCGAACGCTATAGACGTTAACCAGGTAACTACTACCAAGGACAAGGCGACTATCTTACAACTCTCTGACTTAGAGAGGGAGCAGTATATAGCTACAGGTCTCTGTTTCCTCTATAGCACGAGGGGCTATATCGTAGCGAAATACATAGAGAAAGGCAAGCAAGCCTAGAACAACCTGGGCGCTAGAGGTAGAGGGTAGCGGGGTAGCCGTAGCAACTACGGCGGATTCGGCAATAACGGCGGATTCGGCAACAACGGCGGATTCGGCAATAACGGCGGATTCGGCAATAACAGCGGCCCGAACTGGAACAACAATAGCGGCCCGAACTGGAACAACTACAACGGCGGATTCGGAGGCGGCGGAGGCTGCGGCGGCAGCGGATACCTGTATCGACAGAACAATAACAACCAGAACTTCGGCAATAACAACCAGAACTTCGGCAATAACGGCGGAGGCTACGGCGTATACTACGTACGATTCATGGATCAAGGCTACGTTCTAGGAGAAGTCGGTTACGACGATACTAAGTACTACGAACCCAAACAGAGCACGGAAGACCTAGAACAGTAACAATAGCACTAGGGAAATGCCTAGCCTCTACGCGAAGACGCGCGTAGGGGCACGGAGGCTATTACAGGGGAGGTAGTAGCGATTTAGTTATTAGCGCTATTGGTTAGATAGCCAATTCAATCCTATTATCCTCCTACATTGTGATAAGCAAGCGTAAGATAGCGTATGTAGCGCTTGTGGATTCAGGCTATATAGGTCTCGCCTTTATAGACTTTAGTTTCGCGGTACGTAACGATATACCGCTAAGCAGACTAGAAACGAGGAAGCTACTCTACTTAGCCAATAGTATACTAAAGTTATAGATCGAATAGAGCACAGTGCTAGAACTAAGGATCGGCTAGTATAGGGAGAAGCTTCGGTTCTTTATTACTATACTAGCGAAAGACAATCCGATTATTCTAGGCCTCCTATAGCTAAGAAGATATAACCTAACAATCAACTAGGCGGACCTAAAGCTTACGTTTAGGAAGCGTTGCCGAGAGCAACGTTGCTTACTAGAACATATAACCGAGCTGACGGCACTATAAGCGAAGCCTACAACTACGGAACCTACAACCGCGGAACCTACAACTGTAAAAAACATAGCGAAATACCAAGCATCGGTCGAGGAAGTCCCGGATAAGGGAGAACCAGAGGACGGGGAGTACAACCGGGGTCTAGAGAACCTATAGAAGAAGAGGAAGAGGAAGTTATCCCCGTTGCAACGCTATTAGAGAGCGCTCGAGAACGGACCGCGGTAGACCTT